CACTGAATCTACTTCTAGAAATAGAGAGCAGCCTTCTTTCCTTGAAATAACAGCACACATTCTGTCTGTAAGCATTGTGTTGTGCTCAGTCCTTCCTCTGAGGGCTAGTCTCCTGGCCTTGATCCTTCTTGTTTGTTCCCTGTGCACTGGGATTTCCCTCTCCTGCCATGTAAATCCAGACAACTTTCTGCCTTGTATTCTGAAACCTTGGTGTTTCCTCCTTTGACTTGAGTCTCTTCGAAACGATTGTGTGGTGGCTGGGCACTGCAAAATGAGTCAGTTCCTGAAGTTTGGTTACAAGTTCTCAAAAAGTATTTCAGAATGTGGATGTGGTCAGCAGAGTCATTTTCCAGGCATCTAAAAGGAAACCCACATCAACTGTAACAATTGAGCTCCAACCCTATGGTGCTATACAACAGAACCAAGTCCTATTTTCCCTTATATCAATGCCTAGAACCATCCTCAAGTGTAGCTGCTCCAAACACATCTTTGATGGGAAGTCTTGTTCCTGTTTGCAGGTCACATTTTATTTGACACCATTTGCACAAACAATGTGACACAGATTTTAACCTTATTTACTTAAGGATGTTGGTCTGAGTTTGAATAGGAAAAAGTATCAATTATTTTTGTAAAATAGAATCAGTGAGACTAGAGTATGATTAAGAGATGATTTGAAGTGTGAATTATGGATGGAAAATTGGGTAATTTTTCTGAGGAATAACCAAGGGGCACTTTTAGATATCACGTAGTACATAGGATTACCTCGTAATTATGTTCTGGATCTTACAGCAGCGGTCATATAAATAACTAAATTCTTTTCAAGCTTTGAAAGAGTTTCAAGCTCATCAAAACCAGAATATTTTAGCTCAGCATGGGCTTTAGAAAAATCTTTTGTGGCTATTTATTTGTGTACCATAAGTTCTGTAAAATCTGATTGAGTTTATTTCCAGTCTTCTATCACTCATGAAAACGGATGACATTTCAATAATAAAAAAATAGGAAGATAAAATATGAGCAAAGGATTTCCAAAGACCCTTCACTGAAGAAGACACCCACATTGGAGATAAGTACATGAGCGTGTTCTACATCATTAGTCATTTGGGAAGTATAAGTAATAACTACATACTATTTGAATGGCTGAAATGTAAAAAGGCTGACTATCAAGTGGAAGTTGAGGATTCAGGGATTTAGGGCTCTCCCTGACATTTAGGAAGAAATGTGAAATGGTGGAAATATTTTAGAAGACAATTTAGCAATTTCTTAAAATGTCAAACTCACACTTACCATGTGACCCAGATGTCCCATTCAGAGAGACAAGAAAGCAGTGTTGTATGTGAATGCCCATAGCAATTTTATTAGTTATAATCAAGAACTAGAAAAGCACAAATGTCCAACTGCAAATTAAAGGGCAAACAAAGCAACAGTATTGTATCAACGACTATTGCTCAATAATGGAATATGTTACTACTTTAAATAAAAGGAAGAGTCCTAACTTATGAGAACATACTCTGTGTAATTCTGTTTACATCAATTTCTAGAAATTCTGAGTGGCAGAAGTTACAGGAGTGATTTATGAAATGGCAAACAGAGGAGTGGGTAGCAAGAGGAAAGGGTTGCAAAAGGAAACCAGATATAGTGGATAATTTCACTTTATTATTTATGTTGATGTTTCATGGGTGATTCTGTTTGGCAAACTTCCCAATCATCGAATTTAATTATGTGTGGTTTATTGCATGTTGGTTATTCCTCAATTTTAGAAAAATCTGAAGAAAACAAGATATCACTGTTACAATAGATGGAGGGTTCGAAAATATCCCTGTTTGGTAAAATCAAGATTACCCTGTCTTAAAGAAGGAGCTTTAATGCTTTGGGTATTGAAATACACAATTTCTAGTACAGATGAATAACCAAAGTTGAAAGTGAATGTAGTCTATAGCTGTCGTATCTCTCACTACCCCTTGTCATTTAAATTAGTGTCATTTTTCAGGAAGTGTTTCTTTCCCCCAACATTGATGGGACAGCCATCTACTGGCATTATAAACATGAACTTACACACCACTGTAGCAAAACTGTAGCTTCTGAAGATAACCTCAGGTGATACAGTAGCTACCTTATTGTGTACAAGCCTTTCTTTGCTCACAAGAATCATTACTGTTTCCTTTGCTTGAAGGGTAAAGGGACTCAAAGGCCAAGCTGTTTCCTGAATCACAGGAACCCTTGTGTCTCTTTCTCTGGTGAGAACTGTCTCCATTCCCTCTTGCTACTTGCTACACATACCTTGCTAGTTTCCCAAACATATATCAGTGACTATTTGATCAAGACTCTTATCTCACTGATCTTGAGGAGTTCATTTTATATATGTAAAAGCCCTAAAAAGACCCCTTGTAAGTCTCGGTTTCTCCATCTGTAAACAGATAATAATATAAGTGCTTAGTTTTCTAAGGTTCTTATAAGTGTCAGAGACCCAGAGAAAACCCAGCTCTGTGCACCCCAGTATTGCCTGTGTGATTACTCACATCATATCTGTATTTCTGGTATAGTACGAAGACTAGAGTGGACCCTCTAGGACATTGAAAGTGAGAAACATTGAAATGGTAGTCTTCCATTGGGTGCCCTATGGCTTCATTCAAAACTGGAATATAACATAGTGAATAAAATCCTGCCAATTATTTCCAGTTCTTCTTAAAGGGACACTAAATAATAAATAATTGGTTGACAATGACTAACAAAACCATAGGTCAAGGCAGATGCTGTTGAGTTTTTCTCCTGGAAGATTGGTCCATGCATTGGTATCCTCCTTTCTCAGCTGCACTACGTGGATAGCATATTTCATCTCCAGGTACCTGTCACTTTCAGAATCCCTCACTATCTGCCTTACTTTTTCCCCTATTTGGTTTTGAGGAAATTGCCTCCAGAGCACCCGTTACATAATTTCCCACCCAGCACATTTGTCATCATCTCATGTGATAAACTGTACAGGGACCAAGTATAGCCTCCAGGACTCTGAGATGGTACTTAATAAACATGTATTGATGGAACATGAGAATAGTTCTATGCACAAGTATATTTAAGAAACTTGGAGAGGAAAATCATAAAATAGTCTGCCTGCCTGCTAGGTTTCTCAGAACCTTTTATATTTAGAGGGAAATAGTGCTGTGTGCATCTTTCAAATGTGATAGAGTCAAAGAACCGTGGGCTTGTTTTTGCATTTGTTTTTGTTTTGTGGCTTGTGTCCTGGTTGAAAGCTCCAGTAGACACACTGTTTTGTAACTTGTTTGGTGTATTGGTAAATGACAAGTTTTCCTAAGAGCTTTCTGTCTGTCCCTATTTGCATGTTGAAAACAAAACACATCTTATTTTCTTAGATCTTGAGAGGTCTTGTCTCTAAATGTTGTGTCCATGGTTGAAGAATCACTCGGATGTATTTTAGCTTTAAAAACATTAAGGGATGTAGTAATAAAGGTGAACAAAGAATGTATTCTGTCTGGAAATGAAACTCAGTCAATGAAAAGTCTGTTTCTTTGTTTCATTTTGGCCAAAATCATCTGCTTTTCAAATCATCTGCTTTTTCAAATCTCTTTTATCATTTATGATTCTGCTCTTTGCCAGTTTGTATAGGGGCAGGAAGAAGGTGGGCATGACAGCTCCCTCCAGTCTGTGTGGGGTTTTCTTATTATTGCTACCAATGTTAAAGTGGGAAAGTAAAAGAATGGCCATGTCTGGAACACTTTTTTTTCACTTTGTAGTTTCCAAAACTACAAAGAATTTGATCATCTGAACAAGGTTTACAAGAGAGATCGTGTCAGAAAATGAATAGTAATTTCCGACAGAACATGAGACAGTCTTTATACCATAGGAAGCAGGAGAATAAACATAGACTTTGGGGCCTGGAGCCTAGATTTCACCCACTGAAAACTGCAGAGCCTTCTGTTGGGGGAAGAGTGGCTTGATATAGAGGCCAGGGCCTCACATGTGGTAGGTAGACAATGCCACTGAGCTATACCCCATCCCTCTTAATGTCTCTCCTTTTTATTGACATCACCCCCACCTCACTTTCAGCTAAGTCTTTCAAGGCATACCTCTCCTGACCCTTTCTTCCCCTCACAGAAAGAGGAACCAGATTTCCCCTGTCTTACTTACCGTCAATATAAACAGCAAGTTTATTCCTGTCATTTCCCCTTTCAATCTAGTAATGAAGTTGGCCACTGTTTCTCTCCACAGGAAGAAAGACTTCCTTCCTTCATCTCTTGCCTTCCTCCAAGCTTAGGGATAATCTTTGCTTTCTTGTGGATTCTGGACTCTAACCTTTTCTAACTTTTTAAATTAAGCCCACAAAAATTACTTTCCTCCCCCTTCTCAACCTTTCAGATTTTCTCTCCCAGTTAATCCTCATCTTCTACACAGCCATCTAAGAAACTGATGTCCCTACTGAGGAGTGTCAGGGTGCCTGTCTTCTCCTACCTATGTTTCTAGTTTTGCTGTGGTGGCTGACATCCCTTGTAGCTTGTCACTAGTAGTGACCCTTTTTTAGTATCCTTCCTTTCTATATTATATAGTATATAGTATAACAATAGATGATCTCAAGTTGAAAGCAGATCTCTTGATTTCATTTTAAATGTTTCCCTCTCTTGTATGTGGTGCATAGGCCAGAGATTAAGCACCAGTGTTGTCTTTGGGTGCTGTCCACCTTGTTTTAAGACCATGTCTTGTTGCAACTCATCAGTTATAAGAGGCTCGCTGGTCAGCAAGCCCAAGTAATCCACCTGTCTTTATCTCTCTCTCCGTTGCTAGGATAATAACCGAACACCACATCATACCTTACATTGTTGTTTGTTTTTCCAACTTTGGTTCTGCTGACCAAATTCACATCCTTCTGCTTTTATGGCAAGTACTTTAGAGGCTTTTAAAATATCTTCCCAGCCCTACCTTTCTCAATTGTTAATCTTTGAGTTTTAACTGGTTTGGTGGTGTTTCTCCAAGTGTTTGTTTTTGCTTTCCAGACCAGCCACACACTGGGAAAACCTGTCTAGGGTCACTATGGCACAGTCCAGCATCTACAACTAAACTGAGGCCAGAAGAAGAATGCTGTTGTTAGGATGTGGTATGGTCCTTGGTTTGTACTAAGCTTTTTCCAACAAAATACTTGTTCCTTGAGCCAGTTGAAGAAGTAGATTCATTTTCACTGCGTGGCAACTAGCCTCAACCCATTTAGAATCAAATACTTGATTATAGGTAAGAACTATATACTGCTGTCTTTCTTACATTCTCTAAAGGTTATATAAAACAACTAGTATCTCCATTGCCTTTTATTCAATACAGTTCAGTCCAATAAGTCTTAGTTACCTTTTCCATTTTCTCCTTGTTATACTAGTAGAATCCAGATTTTTCTTTCCTCTTTCTCTTCGCTGAGCATTGCATGCTGTAGCTGGCAGCTTTATCAAATAGAGTCTGTAAGTATAATGATATACATTTGGCCTTTTATCCTTTTTTAAACGATCAGAATTTGGTGCTTCCAAATCTTCACACTATTTGTTAGCTTGTCTTTCCCTCTTTTCCTTTGTTGTATGAGCATTTGTATAGTCTTGTATAGTCGTGGTTAAAAATAAATTGCTATACAACCACAGAACTCTATCAGTTGGTACATAGTGTGGTTTGGTTTATGGTGGACTTCCATGGTTGTCAGGCAGGCAGGCCGTAGTGAAGGTTAAAAGTCTTCCTGAGAGTGCCCCTTGTCCTCCGTAAGGACCCTTCTTTTGTGCTGTTAAGTGGATAAAGACATACAGAGGTACAATCCTGAATAGAGATGGAGATGTTTGTCTGTTGGGGTTTCATGTGTGTGTGTGTGTGTGTGTGTGTGTGTGTGTGTGTTAAAGTATATTATTCTAGGTGCCCAGACATTTTACAATTCATTGACCTGTGGTTGATTTAGGTGACCATTGTTTACTAGATGTTGCTGACACTTCGGGTGCCAAGAGTGCGATTTGATTATTATCTCAAAGCACCTGTATTCTTATACATTTCTTAATCAGTAGTGTCAAAACAGTGTTACTTTGTTTCTGACCAACACAGGCTGAGCCATCACAGTGCTAGCCCCAAAGAAATATCCTTCTCATCAGCAATGAGGCCTAGAACTGGGCCTTCCACAGGCTGGAGGACCTGCATAGGCAGTACTCAGAAGGCCTGCCACTTGTTTTTTTTTTTTAGCTTGTCTGGGCCGAGTAGAACTTGTCTGGGAAGAGTTACAGAAGTACTAAAAAGTCAGTACTCTAAAAATCCTGGATGGCATAAGGAGTCAGACAAAAAAAACAAAAAAGCAAAAAAACAAAAACAAAACAAAAAAACCCAGAGACTGTGGTTAATACATATAAATGAGACCTACAGCCTATGATGTTAGGCATATGTTGATGTCTTCAGAAAACTGCACGTTGCTCAGAAGTGAGACTAAAGTGTAAAGACCAGCAATAGGTTGTAGCTGAACAAAGCCCAAGCTATGGAGGAACTGACTATATTTTCTTTCTATTATTTATAGGTTCAGAAAACAATTATTTGATATCCTTATTTTCTTATCATTAATGGGATGCAAATAATTTTATTTCCCCTTTTTAAGGACAGGAGTTCTTCACTGCCTTGCACACTGCTGACATTGTATCTAGAAACTGCCTTACATATTTCTTCCAGAGAGGAAGGAGAGGGGAGAAGAGGAGAAAAATGGATTTAAGGCAATTTATTTCTACAATTTGTCCACAAAAGACTGTGTATCACTCAGGTTAAAGCTATCCTTTTTTCTATAAGTGTATTTAGTAAGCAAAAATGGCTTATGCTCTCATTCAGTAATTATTTTAAAAATGATTTTTTTCATTCAGGAGGATTAAAGGTATGTATCTAATTGCTAAATATTATTTTCCAAAACTAGTCTGAGTCTGTCTTTATTAGTTGGAAGAGGTTTCACCTTCAGAAGCCTGTTTTAGGATCTTGTGCCAACCTGATTCTTCCCAGACCTGTTCAGGCTAGACTTCTTTGGCAGAAAATGTCTTTTTAAAAGTGTCTTGAACAGGAATGTCCCAGAAAATGTTCACCTCAAACTTCAAGTTGACTTGTAGAACAATTTACTAAATAGAGAGATGTGAGGATCAAATGACCATCAGCTGGTATAAATGTGTTTGGTCAATATAGTCACAGGACTTCAGGTATGCAAGAGTTAGACAGGCTGCCATCACGTGCCTGGTTATGGTGATAGTCTGATTCATTCAAGTGCTCTAACGTAATGCAGAAGGAATCCAAGTTCACTGGAATGTACTTCAATTAGACACTTGTATTTTAAAAGGTTGGTTTCTCCTCCAGCATAATTTAACTCTGTACACTCTGTGTGTATATGAATGCATTATTTTCCTAGTCTATATTTACTGTTAATTAGACTTTTTATTCTTCACCATTTGAAAGGCATGTATATGTGGTTTCTTTTTAACCAGCTTTATTGAAGTATGATAAACAAAGAACAGTGCATACTCCAGGTGGACAGTTTGATGAGTTTGGATATCTGTAAACATCTGTGATGACATTATAATTCCATCACCCATGATTAAGGTAATCACTGGCTTAGTGTCTCCCAAAGTTTGTTTTGCTCCATGTCTCCCCCACTCTGTCCCCTCCCTTCCCCCTCCAGGCATATGTTTGCATTTTAAAAGAATATTTAACATGAAGCCTACCTAGTGGGAGGTGTTTTTATTTAAATTAATGCTGACTTTGTTAAAGCTATGGACTGGCTTGTGCTCTTTCAGATCCATAAATGTGTTTGTGACAGAAGTTGACTGCATTGTTTAGTTAATTCACACACTTGAGAGTCCCTTAAAATACTAAACTGAAAGCTATAATATGTATGCAGAGGACCTGGTGCACATCCATGTAGGCCCTGTTCTTGCTACTTCAATCTCTGTGAGCTCATATGAGCCTTGATTAGTTGATTTATAGGGCCTTGCTCTCCTGGTATCCTCCATCCCATCTGTCTCTTACACATTTTCTGTCTCTTCTTCTGCAGGCGTCTCTGAGCTCTGAGGAGAGGAATTTGATAGAGATGGCCCATTTAGAGTTGTGTGTTTCAAGATCTCTCTCCCTGTGTAATGTCTGGCTGTGGATCTTTGCATTTGTTTCTGGCTACTGCAGGAAGAATCATCTCAGATCTATGAGTATAGCAGAATGGCATTAGGAGTCATTTTGTCACAGTTCTTTTCTAGTAGTATTTTTAGACCAGTGGTATTTGGTTTAACCCTAGGTCTCTGGGCTATCTAAGTCTATGGTTCTTGTCACTCAAGTAGTGTTGGGTTTGGGTTCCATCTTGTGGAGTAGGTCTTAAATCAAATCAAACATTGGTTGGTTACTTCCACAAGGTATATGCCACCACTACCCTAGCATATTTTGCAGTCAGGACAGATTGCAGATAAAGGTTTTATGGCTGGGTTGATGTCTAAGTTTTCTTTTTGGTAGTCTGCAGAATAATGTTCTGTGTCATAGACACTGGAATATGGGGGTGATGGTTCTATGTAGGTACCAGCTTTACCTCTGCATGATCAATGAGTTGTGTGGGTATTGTCTTCAGCAATGGGGCCTTACCATCTGTTTGTGAGCAACCTATATTTTTGGCAAAAGCCTGGATTGTTTTATTTGAAGATTGTATTTTCATGGGACACCTTTGGCCAACAACTCAATTGGATATAACCTGGTCCCAGTACTGAAATCTTTGTTTGGTGACAAGAGATGGCCACTTGAGACTCTATCTCTCCCATTATTTGGAAACTCCATTCAGATTGCCATACCACCCCTCAATTGCTCCTCAATTTAAGCTGTTTCTCTCCCCATATTTTGTCCCTCAACTCTGCATCCTGTTTCCCTCCCCACCGGATCCTTCTGTTTCTGCCCCCTCACCCCAAGACCATCCATTGAATTTATTCTATATTCCCCTCCTATGGAGATCCACATTAGACCTTTCCACCATACCTAACCTCTGTGAGTCTACAGACTGTAGCTAACATGAATTAAGATTTATAAATGATCATCTGTTTAACCATGGTATTAGAACTAGCAAAACTAAACCCATGTCTCACTTGATCAGCTTTGTCTATAAAAGACAATTTAGGCATAGTTATAGAGTGTTGGGAGATATACATTTGTGTGCTCTACAAATGCTTTATTTTATTTTTTATTGGTTATTTTATTTACATTTAAGATATTATTCCCTTTCCCCATTTCCCCCCCACACACACCCAGGAACCCCCTATCACATCCTCCCTCCTCCTGCTTCTATGAGGATGTGCCCCCCCCACACACACCCACCCACTCCCACCTCCACATCCTTGAACTCCCCCACACTGGGTCATCCAGCCTTCACAGGACCAAGGATCTCCTCTCCCACTTATGCCCTATAAGGCCATCCTCCTCTACATATACAGCTGGAGCCATAAGTCCCTCCCTATGTGCTCCCAAGTTGGTGCTCTGATTGGTTGGTATTGTTGCTCTCCCCATGGGGCCCCAAATCCTTTCAGCTCCTTAAGCCTTCTCTCTAACTTCTCTATTGGGGACCCCTTGATCAGTTCAATGGTTAGATGTGAGCATCCTCCTCTGTATACGTCAGGCTCTGGCAGTCCTCTAAGGAGACAGCTATATCAGGTTCCTGTCAGCATGCACTTCCTGACATCCATATCAGCTTCTACCTTTGGTGACTGCACATGGGATGGATACCTAGGTGGGACAGTCTCCAGACTACCCCTCCTTCAGTTTATGTCCCATGTTTGGGACATACTCAGTTACACTCCCATGAGTATTTTGTTACTCCTTCTAAGTAGGACGGAAGCACCCACACTTTGGTCCTCTTTCTTCATGAGCTTCATGTGGTCTCTGAGTTGTGTCTTGGGTATTGCAAGCTTTTGGACTAATATCCAATTATCAATGAGTGCATGCCATGTGTGTTTTTTTGTGATTGGGTTACCTCACATCCATTTGCCTAAGAATTTCATGAAGCTTTATTTTATAGTAAGGGTAAGAGCTTGCCAAACCTGACCAAATGCTCTCCCCCATCTCATTATGCATGCTGTTTTGTAAAAAGAGAATATTAAAATATAGATAAGATTAGTTTATAACTGCTAAAGAGGGGGAACAATCAAACAAAAGCCTATTTCCTTTGTCAGTCCCACGTCTATCCTCCCTCAAAGAGCCAAGCATACTGTGACTCCCACAAAGTTGCTTATGTTTCCTTATCGCTAACCATTTTGTCCTGGGCCACTTTTCTTTGTAGTATACATACATTTGATTATCACTGTATGGTCCAGCTGCCAGTCCAATGAACTTGTACTGTTTGAAAGTTGTGAGCCTTTCTGAGCTTTCTTCCTGGTGATAACCCTCCTAAATTTTTCTAAGTGAATGTTGCAGAATTTTAAACCATAAGAAGGCAGAACTCTAAGATATGTGTGCTTGGAGCAAAGTCACATGGTTATTTATATTAGAAAATGATCCTAAATATATGGGGGGAAGCCATTGCCCATGGTGGTGAAATGTCAAGATAGAGTTCCTTACTTCAAATCATTGGACATTATTCTACATTGGTTTTTGACAGCTGGCTCACTCTCTCCCCCAGGGTCCTTTCTTTCCCCTAGGTATATATATGCTTCTTGCATACTGAATGAATATCAGATCTTCAGTCACACATTCCTCAACTACCTTTAAAACAGTACTATTATTTTCAGTACCATTTATTATTAACTATTTATTATGCTATGGAATGACTCATGCCTGCTGGATTAATTTCCTGTTTTTCCCTACCCTCTATGTCATCTCTGATTTGCAGTTCCAAGAGTCAGGGGACTTTGCTCAGTGTTGTATCCTGCGAGTCTGGACTAAGAGACAGAAAACTGTCCCAGTAAGTATTTTTAAGTATTTCTAGAAAAAAAAATAGTAACTGCATCAACAAGGATCTTATCTAGCTAATGACTTAGACCTGTATTGTTTTCTAGGGGAACACTTAGAACTGACAAACTAATGAAATGCTACTTTGAATAGTTTTGTAAAGGTAACCTTTTAATAATTTTCTGTGTTTTAGACATTTAATAAGTGAATCTAAAGTTAGTTAAAATGTACATATATTTAGAACCCAAGAAAATTATGTAACTGAAAACTCTTGGTATTGTTTCATTAATTTCTGTAATTGACACCTTTTCTTTTCCTTCCAGAGCCTCTCCTCAGAAGGCTACAAATTGTCTAGCTCTCAGAAGGATTAAGGTGTCCTCAGTGGCTCAGTAGCCAGTGTAGATCCTGTCTTTGGTAATCAGCAGCTACATCTGGCTACTGGGTCTCTGGTGGCATCATCTAGCTTCAGTTATGGTACCCATAACAAGGTTATTGAAATAATAGCTTTATCTAGAGCAACACACACATGCATGCATAGGCATACACACAGATTTCAGATCTAATCTTCCATTATTCATTCCGTTTTGGAAGTCATCCACTGTTTGATGAATGATGAGATCTCTGTGCTTAACACTACAGAGGATACTTCAGCCAATGATTGGTTTTTCTTCTTGTCCTCCTCTTTAACATTCCCCCATGAAGATATCATTTTCTATCTGTCTATGGATCATCTTCCTAAATGATATCTATCATTTCACTATCTGTATGTCCATACATCTCTTGACCTTTAAAGACCATTTTAAAAATAGCAAAATGAATGACCACCAATAGACTTATTTGAGGAAATTTCACCTATTGGTACGTTGCAGCAATTGTGACTTCTATTTTCTTTTCTTTATGGTAAGTAAGACACATACCAACTTTGACATGTTAATCTATATGGATGATGTGCAGGCTGAACATCCAGGTCTGGGGCATGAACCTGGCATACAATGTAGATTTCTGTGTTTATTAGGCAACAGCTACATTGTCTGCTGGGTTTCAGGCTACCTGGAAGCATTTCTCCATTGGCCTACTTATCAATGTTTTATCTCTAATATTTGTGAGTCAGCTTTTCTAGGAGCCATAAATGAGTGTGACTTATCTCATTCAAAAGAACAAAAGAAGGACCTCTATGAAGCTGATCACCTTATCAATTAATGGTCTCACTGTGATTTCATCCAAAACAGTCTCACATGCCAGACTTGTCAACTGAAGAAACAGAAGATAAGATGTAATGTCATCCTTCCTCTTCTTGCCTCAACTTTCAAAGACAGGTCATATTATTATAAAATGTTTGTTTTTGCTATTTGTTATTGCTGACAGGAAGTAAAGCATCTTTGCGTACTGCCCCCTACCTCAGCATCCCTTCTTACTTTGGTTTCTTTTCCACCTGCAGGAGCCTGGTCTGTTTCTGTTCTCCTTCTGTCATTGTCCCAAAACTTACATGAAGAATTCTCCAGTCTCTGTAGACTCTGAATATTTTATTATGTTGCAACATCTCACTACACTCTTTGTTCGCTGAAAGCATACCCTAAAATTTAATGGACTGTCCACTACTGCTGATCACTGCTTAGGAAAGCAGTGGAGCAGCTGTGTGATGGAATGACAAGGAGCTTATAAAGAGCTCAAGAATGGCTTTCCATCATGAGAAGAAGAGAATGGAAATTGCTTCAAGGAAACAAGTTTTATAATGTGGGTTGTCTACTCTTTTGGTAAATAAATGGAAACTTAGAAATAATTTTAGAAAGTAGCAATTCAGGATAAAATTTTTAGTGGAGGAATTTCAAGGGGAATTTACTAATGTTATGTAAACTAGAGACTTTCATTAAGAAATTAAGCATTTTACATTAATGTGACTTAACAAATATAAAAGGAGAAAAGCAATACAAGTGATGCAAAGTTCAATGCCTGTACATAATTAATTGGTTAATATCCAATAATCGTAATGTAATGAGTTTTTGTCACCTCATGCTGAATTTAATGAAAATAAAGCAAATGAGTTAGAATTTTTCAAAGATTATATTGCCTGGTCTGTATGAGTTTTGCTTTCCTACCAGTTCATTCCGCCCCCTATTTTGTGCCCAAGCCACTGGTCTTATAAAAAGCCCTTATAGTTCATGTATTTGACTACCTTTTAAGTGTGGGGGATGGCTCTATACATTGTGTGGATATTTAATTAAACTCATAGCTATCAAGAGGACAGTGTTTTCTTTCTTTCATCTCTACATTCATGATGTTCTTTGAATTCCTTTGCCTATCACAAACAAGTGTTGATTGTACAGCCAGACATAGAGAGATACCCAAGGTTTCATTTTTTTCCAAAGTGACATAGCAATACTTTATGGGTCCTCAAAGCATGACCAAATATAGTGATATAACAGGAAATACATATTCAAACTTTGTGTACAGTCCCCAAGGCCCTTGTACTTTACTGAGGGACAGGGATGGAAGAACATTTTTTGTTGCATTCAATTTATTCCTGATACAAGAGCATCCAAGAACACTAGAGTCTAGAATACTGAGTCAACCTTTTTGAATGTTAATGAATGAGTGGTTGGGGGTAGCTAGATTCCAGAAGGTGGCTATATGCCAAAGTCACCAAGATATGGTTAGTGGGTTGGAGCCTCATGCCCTCTGCTCTTCAGACTAAGTAGGTGACATTATTTTCCGTATTTGTAGTATTGGGTATGTAACACAGACATGTTTCTAAAGAACATTGAGCAGTTATTATAACCTCCCAGCACAGTAATCATTTTATTAGTCCATTTCTGTACAACTTAACAAAATATCTGAGACTTGACAATTATTGAACAAAAATTATTTTCTAATAACACTAGAAGATATGTCCAAGTTTAAGGCATTGATGTACATTGTCTGGTAACCACTTTCTTGGTGTTTACTCATGTGTTAAAAGGGTAAAAGTGGGTTGAACATTTGTTTTCACATAAAGAATCCTATCCATCAAACCCTAATCGCATCTAGTCTATAAGCATGGAGTGCTTGTAGCATAGTACACCTTCTATCCTACATAAGTATTTTGCATTGAGTTTCAACATGAATATCTAAAAGGTGCATATTTACTCTTCTGTCCACATCCCTCATTCATGTCCTTTTTAATTGTGAAATACACTTAATTTGCCTCAGTAGCTCCTGAAGTCTTCCTCTAACAAATCCAATCACTACTTTAAAACCTTACTTATTACTGTTAAACTTTTATCACAATTTCAACATGAATGGGAGAAGTACATTCAGATAACAGCAACCAATCGTTAGTGCCCGATTAACCATGAATATAATGGAAATTCCTCCAACTATGACGTTCAGAAATCCTCCAAGTTACTAAGTGGATATGGTACTGAACATGTGGCTTAGGGTGGGAATGAAAGCCAGATGTCTTCCAAAACATCTTATCACAGATGTGACTTTGGTGGACTGTTCCTCACTTCAATCCCTTAAGATAAATGAGTAATGGTAAGTAAACTTCCTTGGGTTATGTGAGCTATGTAACAACTTCCCCAGCATGAGGGGTTCAAGGAACTCCTGATACATATATAGGTGGACAGACAAGTCTAAATGGCAATAAGCAATTGGCATTTGAAGTAGGACTTCTTGTGATACTGAGTTCTTCTACAATATGAAGGTATCAAAAGTGACACCCAATTGATGTCATTAAACTTGACATTTGGAACATTTATCAGAATGGTGTAAGTGAAAACAGAACTGAAGGGTACAAATAATCAGGGACTCACTTTTTTCTAACTTTCTCCTCTTGTCTTTCTGAGACACTTGGAAAAATAGACCAATGTTTAATGGCTTTGCCTAGAAGTGAGAAGCACAACAACCTGGAGATAGATACATGTATGTATGACTATAAAATGTATTGTGAAATATAATTATGAAATAATTGTAAAGTGGTAGGAGGAACTTAAAATGATATACCTTTGCCAAAGCGGTGATAAGTTATGCAGTCACCACTTCTAGGTATATGCCCAAAAGAATTGAAAGCAAAGTCAAACACATGTATGCATATCCTTAACAGTGTTGTTAGCATTTACAATGCCAAGTGATAGAAACAACTCCAATGCCCATCAACTGAAATGTTTAGTCATAAAAGATGTGGGTCTGATAGGAGTAGGGAGTAGAGATAAATAGGTGAGTTCAAGGGCAGCCCCATGAGCGTGAGACTTCCATGTTCGAAAACAAAAAAGAACAGAAATTCAGAATACAATGTAGATGAATGTCAAAAAGAAGCCACACTGTACAATTCTGTTGACAAGCAATGGCCATAATAGGTAACTATTAGGCGCTTGCCCTCCCTCCCTCCCTCCCTCCCTCCCTCCCTCCCTCCCTCCCTCCCCCCCCCTCTCTGTCTTGCCAAGTGTTTCTGGCTTGTCTTGAACTTAGCAGACCTCCTGCCTCAGCCTCCCATTGCTAGAGAATTAGACACTTAGAGCTGGTGAAATTCATACTTTGTTACTTATACCAGAACTTTTAGAATGGATAGTTCTTATATGTTCTGAATCCTCCAGATGTCAATACCCTGTATACACTATAGAAAGTGAAATTAACATGGAGATGCTTTGCCTTGTCTATGCTCATATCACTTGTCCTGATTCCATTTTAGAATCCCATCTGTAGCCCTACTGTTAGTTTCCATGTCTCTAGTCTAGTCTTTAACTTAGAAGAGGGTTTTTTTTTTTTTTTGCGACAGAGTTTCTCTTTATAGCCTGGGCTGTCCTGAAACTCACTCAGTAGACCAGGCTGGCCTCGAACTCAGAAACCCACCTTCCTCTGGCTCCCAAGTGCTGGGATTAAAGGCTTGCGCCACCACCTTCTTTTGTCTGTCATGGCTGACATTTTGGAAGAATAGAGGACAGTCATTTCATACACTGCCCCTTATTTTGCATTGCTCAGGACTCCTGCTTAGCTTTGGGTTACTCATTTGACAACACCACAGAAGCTATGCCCTTAAGTGAATCATATATGCAGGTACATTTATATGAATGTGTCCCACCAGGAGTGGTAAATTTTACCATTTGTTTATGGTGATGTCTGTTTGATACCGGCTCCTTCCATCATAACCTCCCTTTCCTTTTTGTGGTGGTCCTGAGATTTGAACTAAGTCCTCATATGCTGGGCAAGTACTCTACTACTAATTATATCCTAAATTACATTATTTTGCTATTCTGAATAGAACTTTGAGTCTTACAACTACTACATGTGAGGTAATAGTTCTATCCAATTTTTCTTTTATTTACCACTCTATTTCTATTTCCTTCACCCTTCAAAATATGTATCATTCAGTTTCTGAGTGTTCTTTAAAATGTACCTTATCTTGTCCAGATGACAAATTTACATGAGTTGTACTGTGTTAAAACTCTCTCATTCTGTTTTTTACCTTTGTACAAATTAGGCACTGCTTTTAATGTTTATCCACATTGCTTCAAATTCTGTGTTGGAGTCCATGAAGTGCTGCTACCACATTCTACCCATGCCATTTCAAGGGATGGAGACTAAACCTTATTTATTGTATGACAAACAACATTACAGTGAATATTCAAACACATGTCTATTTATGGCTCTGTGTTTGGTTTGAAGTTAACCTAATGAGGGATGAAGTTGTTGGATTACCAGATTATCCTGCCTCTCCATGGCCCTTGCTATTATGGCCTGTCTAGCTTGTGTTCCAAACACTAGTGAAACTTCCAGTGACTGATACATAAATTGATGGTGTTTAAAACTCAACCTTTATGGGAACTCCCAAGTAACTGCCATCCTGAGTTCTAGAATTAAGACTGTTAGTGAAGCTTCTGAAGTAGGATTATGTAATCTTTTTGTTGGACTTATTTTGCTGCAAAAAAGTGTGAAATGGGTACTATGGTGGAGGCCTATCATCTTAGCTACTTGAGAAAGTAAGGCAGGAAGATTACAAGTTGAAGGCCAGTCTGGGAACCTTAGTGAGACCGTGTTCCAAAAATGAAAGTAAGGGCTAGTAATTTAGCTCAATTTGTAGAGTACCTGCCTAGCATACACAAAGGCCTGGATTGTACCCCTGGAACTGCATAAAACTAGACTTGACAGCTCACTCTTGTAATCCTAGAACTAAGGGAGTTGTGGCATAAGGACCAAAAGTTGAAGATCTTATGCTAATTAGGTTTCTGAGGTTGAAAAGTAAGTAATTCTTACCCAGTTGCGAAACATGCAAGCTGCAATAATAATATAACAGACAAGGTGTGTACAATAGTGGCATGATTGTTATGGGGATCACAAATAGCCTTTTGTTCAGATCTGAGGCCCACTCCTTAAAATACCTCAGGCCTGGGTCTTTAAACTTGGCCAAGAGCTCACAGCTTAGGAAGTCATCATCCCTACAGTGGTACCTACTACCATTGTTTCTAGCTAAAGTGCAGAAAATAAATGATGCTGGAGAGTTTGGGCCTGAATGAGACATCTATATCTCTTCTATCAAGGCTCAGGAGATACATCAGAAGAGGGGTTAGGGAAAAATGTAAGAGCCAAAGGATTGGGGAATTATACAATTATGTCGTCTAGACATGGCATAGGTATTGCACTCGGAACTCTTTGCAGCTGTGGTGGTCCCAGGAGGAAAGGAGGTGACAGGATCAGGTGTGGAAGGAGATGGGTGTGAGAGGGGAGAAGTACAGAAGGTCAGGAAATTGAATGAAGGTATGTAGCAGTGGGGGATGGGAAACTGGGGATAGCCACTAGAAAGTCCCAGATGACAGGAAAGCAAGAGGCTCCCAGGACCCAAGCATTAGCTGAAATACCCAACAAAGGGAAGAGAACACCTGTAGAGACCATATCCAGAGGCTAAGCATGGCTCCCTTTAGACAGAATTGCTCCTGTCTAAAGGAAATGCAGGGACAAAGAATGGGAGCAGAGACTGAAGCAAAGGCCGTCTAGAGACTACCTCACTTAGGGATCCAGCCCATCTGCAGACACCAAACCCAGACACTATTCTGATGCCAAGCAGCACTTACTGACAGGAGCCTGGTATAA